TGTGAAGGTGTTACCTCCATAATGTTCTCACTGTGAAACTGTACATTATCTACTGAAAGCAAATATTAAAAAATTTTTATTAATGCTGAGTTTTATTTGATGTATTTTAGTCATATTTGCCCTATCTCCTCCCCCAACACCTCTCAAATCTACCTCTACTTCTCTCATAACTTTGTGTTCTCTCTCTCTCTCCCTTTCCACCCCTCCCCTCCCTCCCTCCATCTCTCTCTCCCTCTCTCTCAGTAGCCATCAGCTACCCATATATGCATGGATTTAGGGTCATCTGCTGGAATGTGATTGAACTATCAAGGGCCACACCATTAAAGAAAACTGATTCCCTCCCCAGAAGCCATCAGCTATTCATGGATCCTCAGGGATGGGCTTTGTGAACCCCTGCCCCATGCTAGAATGCTGACTGGTTGGTCTTGTGAAGAGGCCACAGTTGCCGTGAGCTCATGAGGGAAGCACTTCTGCCGTTCCTAGAAGACATCGTTCACTGTGGCTCTCCCTAGTCTCTGCTCGTACAATTTTCTGTCCCCTCTTTCACGGTGGTCCCTGACTTGGGTAGGGAATGTGATGCAGATGCTCCATTTGTGGGTGAGCATGTCACTGACATGTATTTGCTGTACTTTAACTTGTGAGTTTCCACATTAACCAGCTCCATTACACAAAGAAAAACCTCTGATGGAGCCTGGGACCTGAACAGTCTATGGGTCGAGAGATACAGATTCACAGGGCAGTTTGATGCTGTGCCCATTGAGCAGAGAAATATCAGTAGATCCATCCCTGGGACCTGCATGCCTCACCAACTACAAGTTCTTATACTCAGTTGCAGTACCAGGCATGTGTTTCGTAGGTGGGATGGGCCTTCAGTCCACTTAGAAAGTAGTTGACTGCCTTGCTGATGTTTGTGCCACCACTGCGCCCATGGGTCATTATTGTAGTTCCCAGAGTTCCCAGCTGGGTGAGACTAATGATGACTTGTCTCCTACTGTCCTGAAGAGCACCTTCTTTGGTACTATGAAAACTAGCCACTAGGGTTGACATTTTCTTGGTCAGTGCCAACTTGCTTTCTTCATGTCCTGTAACCAGTGTGCATAGCAAAGAAACCAAATCTTAAGTGTTCTGAGGAGATGCTCTGCTAGAATTGGTACCTAAGAGACAATCTTACTTTTCTGCCCCTGAATGCCTGGAGAGGGTGAAACCCAGTGATTCCTTAAGTGCCATATCTATGACTGATTCATAGGTATTTGCTGGATACATATTCTTAAGGTACTGGCTATAGGAAAACACAGTCAATATGATCATGGTAGGCTAATTGTATGAGATTAGAGGCAGCTTTTTTCTGAAGCTGTAATGCTACATGGCCTCTACCTAGTTATGAATGTATAAAATATAACCAAAATAGTTTAAAAATTATAACTATTTTTTAAATTTCAGGCTTTGTTTACTTGAATAACTTTTTCTTGCTAAATAAAAGAAGGTAGTAAAATGAAAACAAAATCATTTGTCATCACTGACTTCAAATGAAGTGAAACATAATTAAAGATATTTGACTCATGAATCTTGGATGGACTTTTCATTTATCAAAGTAGCGTCAAGAAGAAAAGAAACTGGGTCTACCTGTTGCAGTGGCCTTTTACTACAACACTGCTATTTTATATACTTAAATGTTATTATGTCATTAGGTTAAATATCCATTTTGTATGTTATGAAAAGTACTTAAATTTCTGAAAGACCATGAAAAGAAAGAGAAACTGTTAATTCAAAAGTTTATGCCTTTCAAATACTAGTAATATCAATATTCTTAAAATCATCCTGTTTGATAACAACTGGATCTAAATTAAGTGTTGCTCTCATGTTGGGTGATCTTACCCACATGAATTGTGACTTACTGCACAGATGGAGAAATTTCACTCTCTAGTTCTTGAAATATTTGTCTTCAGACAACAGTGTCTTTTATTGCAGAATCTTCCTTCCAGAATTGTGCTGGCTGGTTTTATGTCAGCTTGACACAGGCTAGAGTCATTTGAAAGGAGGGAATCTCAATTGAGAAAAGGACTCCATAAGACCCAGCTGTAGGGCATTTTATTAATTAGTGATTGATGGGGGAGAGCCTAGCCCATTGTTGGTGGTGCCATCCCTGGGCTGGTGGTCATGTAAGAAAGCAGGCTGAGCAAGTCATGATGAGCAAGCCAGTAAGCAGCACCCCTCCATGGCCTGTACATCAGCTTCTGCCTCCAGGTTCCTGCTCTGTTGAGTTTCCATCCTTCAGTGAGGAACAGTGATATGGAAGTATTAGCCAAGTAAAACCTTCCCCCCCCACCCCAAGTTGTTTTGGTCATGGTGTTTCATCATAGAAATAACCCCAAGGAAGACAAGAACTTTCAGATACTCTTATCTTGGTGTTTTCAGTGCTGTTATTGTGGGGAGCTGTTGGGAAGTACAGAATACCTGTATTTAATGATAAAAACCTCGACTGCTGCTGTGTGTGGGCTCTTCAGGAGCAGGAGTCACTGGTATCCAGTGTAGGACTTGGTTCTATATTACTGGATTTTAGCCAGCCAAAATTATAATAGTAAATATCTGTCAATAATGGAAGGAACATGTTCTTCTATTTGGCAGATTCAGGAAACTGAGACCCAAATTATTTTAAAAAAATTATTTTTATTTTGAATACAAGAACCATAAAAGCAGATGGATAAGGCAAATTTAATTTAGGACATGATCAGTGTTTTTTTTTTTTTCTTCTCTTTGGGGGCCACCACCCAGCTCCCAAATAAATTACACATGGAGGCTTATTTTTATTTATGAATGCCTGGCCTTAGCTTGGCTTGTTTCTTGCCAGCTTTCCTTTTCTTAACTTATCCCATCTACCTTTTCCCTCTGGGCTTTTCTGGTTCTCTTACTTCTGTAACTCTTACTCTTACTTGGTGGCTTGCTGTGTACCTGGGTGGCTGGCCCCTGGATTCCTCCTTCTTCTCTGACTGTTAGAAGTTAGATCTCTCCTCTCAGTTTTCTCCTTCTGTGTGTTCTCTCTGCCTGCCAGCCCCACCTGTCCTTTCTCCTGCCTTGCCATTGACCAAACAGCTCTTTATTAGACCATCAGGTGTTTTAGACAGGCACAGTAACACAGCTTCACAGACTTAAACAAATGCAACATAAGCAAAAGTAACACACCTTAAAACAATAATCTGCAAGAGGTCAGTATAAAGGATGGAACTTGGTGAGAAACTTCAGTGGACCCTGTCATCACTCTGCCTCTTCCCCACACGCCCATCATGGTCCCTCTGCTTCCATCTGTCTCTTTCATATTCCCCACACTTGGTAGAATAGCCTTCAGCCTTTGACACAGGCCCCATCTCCTTCCTAGTGGGTCCTGGTGGCTTTCGACCCAGGGCTTTACAAGTCATAAGGGATTACATGAAGCTACATTTGTTCTCATGTAGCAGTAGGGCATCTGGCCACAGGCGAGCAGTTTTGAGGCTTCACATCTATCCAGAGAGATACTCTGTTTTTCTCTTTTCAAAGTAAAACTTGCCATCATAGTCAGTGAATCATATGATTTTTGTGGTTCATGGAGAATCAAGGTGTGCAAGATATGTGTGTTTAGTGGGTGTTCAGATTTACTAGCAGCAATGTATGTTTAAACCAGAGGCACATTGCAATGCCTGCATTTCCAGTGGTGTGCTCAGGGTGAGCCACACTTCCACTGTGAGGTATGGCTTTTGAAAGAAGCTGCATGTCCATCGTACATGCATGGGAAGGGAGCGATGCGGTCCTAAGAGTGCCATCCCACTGGAGGAACTCTTCCTTCTCATTTGTACTGTATACTCACTGCCACTGGTGTACATTCATCTCTGAGTCACTTTGGGAATGTCTACTGGCGGTGCTTAGTGGGTCTCAGCAAAATATTTGTTGACTTGAAATGGAGAGGCAATTAAATGGATAGAACAACTTAATTTGAACAGGATTTTCTGTTTTGTGACAGATGCTTGGTGTGTTTTCATGGGAATGAAGAACATTATCACTTTTGCAAATGCTATCAATCTTTAATAATCAAAATTCCCTTGGCAAGAAAAGTGGTGTAGCCATACAGAATTGTGGTTATTGTTACATTGCATTATTTACGGTAAACCTGGTTCAATATTGGTAAATATACTGCAGTGGAAGCTGAACTGTTGTGAGATATCTGGGCATCTGTCCAAGATATCATTAAAATACTGCCTGAAATTCATTGAGTTTGTGAATAACATCTTAACAGCTCAACTGAAATCAAACCACATGGTACAGTGTAAAAATTCTGAATCTACAAGATACGGAGAGCAGTATAAATATATATGACATACTCCACATTCTGTGTTTGAGTAATAAATCTATATATAATTTTGTATTAACCTTTAAATTCTTCAGTCCCCAAATGATTAATATATTAATTAACTTTGAAGTTTGCATGATACTCTGATTAGCTGGTGAATTTGAATGCTTTTTAAACTAAAGTATTGATTGGCCTAATAATCAAATGAAAGATTAAGTAGAAGGTAGAAACTTCTAAACAAATGTTAACATTGATACGACACACATTTTGAGCTGGATGTATACATAGGTGGGTTAACAATATTGTCACTAAAAAGGTCAAAGGTAATAAAAGCCAGTCAATTAAATTCATCTATTTTACTAATGAAAGAAAATTTTACCTTAAAATGGGATTCAGGAATTGTTAATTTTTTATTTTAAACTATTGATTATATTAAGTATAACAGAATATTTGAGTAAGTGAGATGATGTAAGAATAATATGTAGTTAGTAATTTTTTTCTAAAAAACAACACATTAGTATAATTAAATTTCTTTCTGAATATAGACACATTCTCATTGAAAGGGCGTGGGCAAAGGCTTATTTTTGGTCACTACTAGTACAAAATGTCTTTGATGTAGAATTATATGGATAAACACATCTTAAATCTCCTCCTCTCAGTGAATGTCTTGTCTGTTTTCCAGGTTAGCGCTCTACGTATATGAATATCTGCTCCATGTAGGAGCTCAGAAATCGGCCCAAACATTTTTATCAGAGGTATGTTTTATATATTTTTTGCATTACATTTGCTATGTAAATGAATGAAAAATATACAGAATGATGATTTGAAAGTTGTTATATAGTAAGTGCTCAGGTTGCATTTTGTATAATGTAATCTTTGTAGATTTTTTAGGTTAAGCATTTTTAGTATCACAAAACACATTTTCTGTGCAACTCAATAACATTCTAGGAGATTTTCTAGTCATTTATGCCCTTAGAAAGTTATCTCAGCATGGCAATAATAATCAAAAAAGCAAATTTGCTTTAGAAGCTTCCACTAGGCCCAAGGAGATGCCTCTGTTAGTTTAATCTCCAGAACGTACATACATCAAAATGTGATTGTGGTGGTGTGCATTTCTATTCCCTAGTACCATGGAGGTGAAGACAGGCAAACAGACTAGGCAGCCCAGCCTGCTCATCAAAGTTCAGGCCACAAGAGGGTCTGTCTCCAGAAAATGTAGATGAGGGCCAGTGGGATGGCTCTTCGGGTAAAAGTCCTTGTCGACATGCCTGATGATCTGAGTTTGATCCCCAGGCCAACACTGTGGAGGAAGAGAGCATGATCCCTCTAAGTTGTCCTCTGAGCGCCACACAAATTCCATGATGCTCCTAAGTGCATGCTCACACATGGACACATATGTGTGTGTGCACATTAAGCTTCCTTCCTTCACCTATTTCTAACATGTTAGCATTTGTTTATAAGTTTTGATAATGTAGATTTGTTTGTCTTTATTTTACATGAATAAGAGTTGGTTGTTTTGAAACATTTCTGAAAATCTTATTTCAAATTCTTTCTATTCTCTCTCTCCTTCTCTGTTCTGGTTTGATTTTGTTGTTGGAAACAGGCTGACCTCAAACTTGCCATCACACCTGCCTTAGCCTCCTGAGTGCTGGCATTACAGGCAAGTGTCTGCTCCCCTTTTACGTCTTCCAGCTCTGCATCTGAGCTTTCTCACAATAGAACTCTATTTTTCTTCTCTAATCTACATGATGATAAGGAAATGAGGATGTTGGATTCTGTTGTGTAGTAGGCATAGCATGTATCAAGGGGTATTATATTTATTATTTCAAATTCTTTTAAGAAATTTGCATGATACATCGTATTATTGCCCTTTCATTAATTGGAACATGACTAACTTGGGGGTCACACAAGTTAATGAGTTACGGAACTAGAAATCAAATTGTTCATGTTATTTCCACGGCCATTGGTCTTCCACTTGTTGTGTGTGTGGGAAACCCATTGCTGGTATTGCTTCGCCTGAGGGATGGCTTACTTGTGATTCCTTTGTTCTCAAACGAGTGCATACATTAACACACAGACCAAACATTCAAATATATGGCCCTGTGGTGGCCATTCTGATTCAAACCAACATAAATGTCAAATAAGGAAATTGAAGAAAACACTCCCTATGTTCATGGATTATCAGTATCAATATTGTGAAAAATGGCCATATTATCAAGAATGATCTTCAGAAACAATGCAGTCTCCATCAAAAGATAACAAAATTCTTCACAGAAATAGGAAGAAATGCTAAAATTCACATGAGAGCATATAAAACCCGAGGTTACAGTTTTGAGAAAAAGAACAGTGCTAGAGATAGTCAAGCACCCAGTTTCTAGTTATATTATATGTCTGTGATAACAAAAAACAGTGTAGTATTGGCCCCCAAACAGGTATGTAGATTCATGAAATAGAGCACCCACGCATTACACCCCTAAAGCTACATGGTTTTACATGTTTGACAACCATGTAGAAAACATAGATTGAAGAATAGGAAGCATTTCCAAATATGGTGCTGGTAAGTCTGTTTCCATACGTAGGGAAATGAAACTAAATTCTTATTCTTTGCAAAACTCAGTTGCAGGTGTGTGTCAGAGACCTTAATATGAGACTTGAAATGCCGTTGCATGGAAGTTTCAGGATAACAATTCATAGGCGTAGATAAGGATTTTTTTAAATCCCAGCTCAGGAAATAAAACCCGGGAATTGTTGAATGGGATTGCAGAGGTGACGGAGCCGCTGTACAGTAAGCATTCAAGTGAGCAGACACCCTGCACACAGGAGAGGTCTTTCCCAGCTAGACATCTCACGGAGAGTTAACAGCCGGAGTGTATGGAGAACTCAACATTCGACACCAAACACCTCTATCAATACACGAGCTAATGAGACGTCTGTTTCAGAAGATGAAGCACAGACGGCTACTAATAAGAAAACTGTCTCATGCTTAGCAATCAGGGAAGTGCACGCTAGAACTACCCTGAAGTGCCATCTCACCCTGTAGTGGCTAAAGACAAATTCTAGTGAGGGTGTGGGTAAAACTTCTAGTGGGGAGCTATGGACAGTTCCAGTCACTATGGAGATCACTTCCAGAAGTTTCTCACCGAGCTAAGTACTGTATGACCCACTGTACAACTCCGTCTGGATCTATATCTACAGGACTCTAGGTCAGTCACCACAGATGTGCTGTACATTCATGTTGATTATAGCACTACTTGTTTAGGTGTCCATAAATTGAAGGATAAATAAATAAAATATGGTTATATGCACAGTGAAGTTTTATTCAGTCATAAAGAAGAATATAAATTTGCAATTTTCTAGGAAAATAGATACAACTTGAGCTCATCATATTGAATAAAATAAACCAATCTGAGAAAGGTTATATCATGTTTTCTTTCATTTGCAGATCCTAGACAGTGTAGGTTACATAAAAGTGTACACGCGCGCGTGCGCGCGCGCACACACACACACACATACACACACACACACACACACACACACACAATGGAAGCAGAAGGAGGCTGGGTAAGGAAGTAGACTGGTAGATGGGTGGGGTGGAGCACATGGTCAAAGCACATGATATACTTGAGAGAAACTGTTGTGATGCCTAGCGCTGTCTACAGTGTGTGTCCACCATCAGAGAAGAGTTCCAGGAAGGAGGGAGGATGTCTCCCTAGGTGTAGAGTCTTGACATAGAAAAACATGTTTGTATATTTATAATTGTTTAAAAATATAGAGCATACATTCTCTTAAGTGTTCTGAATCTACAAATGGAAGCCTGGGGTGTGTTTGTGATACCACTTTGCTGAGCACACACGAGATTTCCTGATCACTTCAGTTGGTTATATTTCAGTACCTTTCTTTATTTCCTCACATTGTAAGTGTCTGCAGTATCTAGTTGCTTGTGTTTGCTGGATAGACCACTAGGCTCTGTCTTCTGGGCAGTGCTCCGTTTTGTGTTGCTCTGCCTAAACCCTTCTCCTCTTATGTACCTAAAGGACTTGGATGTCATCATTTACTAGGAAGGCTTTCTCAGGATTTCCTGTCTTTAAGATGTCACTGCAGCCTGCAGGGGCCCTCACAGGAAGACCATTACATACTTGAGTAGGAGGTCTTCCTCCTGTCGTCTTGATGGAAGAGCCTACGGCAGTTTAAAATAGAAGAACACCACCATCAAGTCTGTGCTATGATGTCTGTGTTACCCGGTCCCCTGACTGTAGACAGGACAGAAGAGAGAAATGAGTGAATGTAGTATTTAGAGCTTGGCAACCTCCTCAGAGTCGCTTTCACTCTTCACTTTACTTGGAACCCACACAGAGCTAGAGGGTGCTCTTTGTAGAATGACTTTTTAAGCAGTTCAGTTGTATATGACTGTTCATGTCCAGCAGTCCTTCTTACTGTACCCCAGATTTTTACCTCTCTCAGAACTGTTACACAAGAAACTTAAAACAGGCAGAATGACTTATTTGGATTGAGCATTCTGATAAAGGATTGAAATAGCTACTTCAATCTAATGTTTTCACTCAGGTTCAATGCAAAGTAGCCACTTGTTTATATTTTCAAGTTCTCCTTCAGGGTCAATGAGGTTATAATGACCATGATGTTAATAAGTTCTTCTGAGTGAAGATTAATGTGCTTGACTGTTTCTTCCACTTACACGGGCTGGTTGTTAAAGGGGAAGCTGTGTTCATGGCATTTGGACAAGCAAGGTGTGTCTCTTATCAGCCCAGCCACTCAGGGGCCTTAATCTTTGAACAAGTGCTCCTGACCTAAGCCGTCAGAAATTGGACTGCCTCTGATGGTTTTCCTCTTGGTTAGAAGGATGAAGACCATCATTATATTAGACCAGCTCCTTTTGCCTTTCTTTTTTACTATAAAATAAAATATAGTAAGATAAAATGAAAACCAGCACACTGGACTGGGATAAAACAAACAGGAAAAGGACCCAAGAAGAGGAACAAGAAAGAGATGTCGATGCAGAGACCCACTCGTTCACGAATTCAGGAATTCCATTCTCTTTTCTCTGTCTAAAGGAAACTGAGAACACTGGACTAACAGTAGTGGTCCAACTATTCTCTAACTAGGTAGCAGCGGTGGGTTCAGTGTTACTTTTGATGTATGGCAAACTTTAATCACCGCCTCAAACCTCAATATAGTTTGAGTGGCTTTCCACTTCCGTACTGTAGATGCTCTTTAGGAACCATAGCAGCACAGTGCTGTTCTGCTGGGAAGACGACCGGTGAAATTCAGCTGCAGGAGAATGTTTGGAAACTTTTCAACTCCAGGTCAACTTTAGTACTTTGTGCTCATCGCTAGTTGTGTTTTTATTGTTATAGCATTCTCATATCCAGAGAGATTCCTGTTGGTCTTTGAAATTTTTATAATGTTTGTGCTTGGAAATGAGGCTGGATATTGTTAACAAATATATAATTAAGTATTAAAATGCTAGCCAGGGGTAGTGATGCATACCTTTAATCCTAGTGCTTAGAAGGCAAAGGAAAGTGGATCTCTGAGTTTGAGGCCAGCTTGGGTTACAGAGTGAGTTCTAGGACAGCCGGGGCTACATAGAGAAACCCTGTCCTGAGGGGGGAAGAAGAGTAAAATGCTGCTGTAGAGTTTATACATTTTCCCCTTTCTTTTACAGTTTACACTCTTGCTAACCTCTTTTCTTGCCCAACAAGATGGCCAAAAATGGTAGCCTTGCCACATCTAATGAACA